CTAGATAGCCACACCTACTGGAGGGTATCACTAGATAGCCACACCTACTGGAGGACATCACTAGATAGCCACACCTACTGGAGGGTATCACTAGATAGCCACACCTACTGGAGGACATCACTAGATAGCCACACCTACTGGAGGGTATCACTAGCCACACCTACTGGAGGATATCACTAGATAGCCACACCTACTGGAGGATATCAATACATAGCCACACCTACTGAAGGACATCACTAGATAGCCACACCTACTAGAGGACATCACTAGATAGCCACACCTACTGGAGGATATCAATACATAGCCACACCTACTAGAGGACATCACTAGATAGCCACAACAACTGGAGGATATCAATACATAGCCACACCTACTAGAGAACATCACTAGATAGCCACACCTACTGCAGGACATCGCTAGTCACACCTACCGGAGAACATCACTAGATAGCCACACCTACTGGAGGATATCACTAGGTAGCCACACCTACTAGAGGACATCACTAGGTAGCCACACCTACTGGAGAACATCACTAGATAGCCACACCTACTGGAGAACATCACTAGATAGCCACACCTACTGGAGAACATCACTAGATAGCCACACCTACTGGAGAACATCACTAGGTACTCAAAGAGGGTAACGAAAATTATCAGATTTCAGCTATACAACTGACAGCTCTTCAAACAGTGATTTGCTAGTAATATACTATTCATGAAAACCTCTATACCCATTAGGGCTCTCAGCACTTCAGTATAATCATAACTAAATGCTAAACCCATAAGGGTCATCCAGCTCTGTTCAGCTCATCAAACAGGAGCAAATCACAGTTTGAGACTGTCAAGGAAGGCAGGGGTTGGGGGGCCATGGCCCCCTCCTTGGCACTGAAATATTTTTGTTAAAAAAAAAAAAAATCCTCATAATTTGCATCACCGGGCTGATTGTTACTATAAAAATTGTTTCATGACATTTAATTCCCATGGATCTAAAAAAAAAAAATTGGGCATTTGGTGGGTCTCTTCTGCCCTTGGTAGAAGCAAGGATGGCTTTCCTGACACCTTCTGAAAGACATTTTTCTTTGAAAAAAAAAAAAAAAACTTTTTGAGTTGCATTAGCTGTTATTACTCAATATAGATATTGCTTTAAAAGTCAACATTTCTTGACAAATTTCAATTGATGTTAAAACAGGGTCATGAATTTTTTTTTCTGGCAATACAGCAACTAAATAAATGATGAATGCACTTTTTCTAGGTAGTAGGTTGGTAGACAGCAACCGCCCAGGGAGGTACTACCGTCCTGCCAAGTGAGTGTAAAACAGAAACATGTAATTGTTTTATATGATGTTAGGATTGCTGGTGTCTTTTTTTCCGTCTCATAAACATGCAAGATTTCAAGTACATCTCACTACTTCTACTTACACTTGCATGTACAAGCACATATATATACTATACCCCTCTGGGATTTCTTCTATTTTCTTACTAGTTCTTCTTCTTGTTTATTTCCTCTTATCTCCATGGGGAAGTGGAACAGAATTCTTCCTCTAAGTCATGCGTGTCACAAGAGGCGACTAATATGCCAGGAGCAAGGGGCTTGAGGTCCCCCTTTCTCCTGTATACATCATTAAAGTTAAGAGAAACTTTCGTTTTTCTTTTTGGGCCACCTTGCTTCAGTGGGATACGGCTGGTTTGTTGAAAGAGGAAGAATGTGTTTTCTTCTTTGAATCAACCTACCTTGGTGAAAAATGCTCAAGGTTATTAATACATTCATAGGGATACACTAGAACCTGTGGGAATCATATAGTGCCTATGGAATAATAAAGCCCTTCACTGGTGTCAGGCATCTCCCTTGAAGGGAGTATTAAGGTGAATGACTATAATATGTACTACAATCAAAATTATTTAATAAACATCAATACTAGGTACAAAATTCAAATGCAGTAGATGGCATTAGCGTATCTTTGAAACTGTACTAGTTGCACACTACAATACCATTATGTTAAAGATGCATACACACAAACCCACTAGAAGAATGTGAATGCAAGAGTATGTAGATGTGTTAAATTTGTCCTAAAGTAAGAATTTTAAGCCCTCAATTTAACAGACCTTGATTTAATGTACTTTGAAAACGTGGGACAAAATCTGCTGGGTCCACTGATTTGGAAACAACAAAGTCTGTTAGAGCAAAAAGGCACAATACTGTGACTGGAACAATACACAAATAACACACATAGGAGAGAGAAACTTACAATGATGTTTTGGCCCAACTTAGAGGATTTATAAGTCACAATAACATATGAGAGTGAGAGAGCCAGTGTATATAGTATATACGTATACAGTTCCCTTACTCTCACGTGTTAGTGCGACTTGTAAATAGTTCAAGTCGGACTGAAACAGTCATAAGCTTCTCTTTCTCTCTCCTATAAATGGGTTATTTGTGCAAAAAAGTTCGTTGGTTACATTATTATTATAATCATGGGGGAGCGCTAAATCCATAGGGATTATAAGCCCCTGTGGGGTGAATGGTTTTTAGGTAATTCAGGGACGGAGCCAGACCCAATTCCCTAGACAGGACCCCCCTCATCGTGTAAAGGAACCTTCCCTGAGGGATCATTGTTTTAAGAATTGATGATTTAAAATCAAAAACATAACAATCTCATTCTGTTAACCACAGTCACCATACTAGTCTGCCATTTTCCCCTATTAATCTCTTAAAATCAGTGTTTATTACTTTCGCTTACAATGACCCTTTTCCGCTACTTTTTTTCTCCAGTAATTCACTTGAACTTAAAAAGCCCGGGGTTTATTAACTTTTGTATTTACTTTTAAATTTAACGAATAGAAATAAGGCATTTGATTTTAAATCAACCCTGTTCAACTTCATTTACTTGCAGGAAAAAAAAAAAAAGAAAATTTTTTTACATTTTTTTTACATTTTTTTGCTTTTCGAAAATTTTTTCATTTAAAAAAGTTACCCGAATATAGAAAAAATTTACTGTACAAAAAAATTTTTTTTTAAATTTTCCATGAAACAAAAAAAAAAAAAGACAAAAAAATTATGAATTAAAAAAAAACAGTATAGACAAAAACACATGCTGTAAATGAAAAAAAATTTTATGCAAAGATAAAAAAAACCAATTCATATTTATGGAATGTAATAGACATGTACTCACGAAAATGCCTTACAAATTTTTATTAAGTATCATCTATCCATTTACTGAAATACTTAAGTCATACCCCAAAAGAGTTCTAACCATCTGCTAACTCTAAAAAAGGAATTTTTGAATCTAGGAAAAAATTTAAAAAACAACTTTAAAAAATTATGACTTGGGGTAAAAATCGACAGTAATATACAAATAAAAGGCCCATTTAAAGGGGCCCTTTTAAAAAGTACTAATAAATAAAAACTGAAAAAAAAATACTCATTTCAGTCAAAAAAATATTTTTTAATTTCACCCAAAGGGAAAAATATTTTTAAAGAGACAAGCTTGTATTATTCTCATAGATAAAACCCCTTTTTTTAGTTTTGAGTGAAGGTTAATTTTTGAGAATAAATTCCTTGCAAATATTATAGAAGGAGACCTTTATAATCCACAAAAACATTTATACTGTATTAAAAAAAAAAATATTAAAATATAGCTCATACATTACTTGTACAAGAGAAAGGAAGGGATTGAGCCCTTTTATTTACCAGGGAAATTTGTTCCTGATATTAGTGTTAATCATATAATGACAAACTCAATGGAGCTTTTAGTCACGGGGCCCGAGATATTACACTAACCTCTTCACATGAACAACTTAACAAGAAGCACTTTTATCCAAGGCTATGTAACCCATGATGGATGTCTGTAATGTATCACGTTCAATATTTTGATATTCATGTCGCTATTCTGCATAATAAAGTAAACCATCAATTTAACGAACTTTGATTCAATGGACCAGAAATGTGGGACAAAATCTGCTCGGTGAATTAATTAAAAAAACAACGAAGTTTGTTGGTTACAAAACTGTCCATTAGTCAGTTACATTGAGTGTCACCCTGTGTGTATTATAAGCATCTGTAGAGATAAAGATTGTTAAACTTGAAGTATTATTGCTGTGCATGTCAGAGTAAGGAACTAGTGATGGTTGAAGAGGTGGCTGGTTGCAGGGGAGGAGATTTATTATATTCTGTCAATGATGATGCATTCATAACCCATCTGAAATGCATCGAGAGATTTGCTTCACCCTCTGTCATTACCACAACTCACTTGTACTTTTTCAAAAATAGAATTTTTGCCAAATGATGCAGCATGCTTTTTTTAGGAACCATGATGTGTAACATGAACCAACTTAAAATAAAAATAAAAAAGTGACAGAGATAAAGGAAACACAAAAGAGTAGGTGCAATTTCTTCCTCTGCGATGAAATTGATCCCCTACCATAAAACATTGTGAATGCTTGAGGTTTGCACTGGAGGTAAATAAATAATGTTTGACTTTAACAAGTTTAGCACTTTTTTGTGTGTAAATAATATAAATAAGTTTAAAGTACATTTGTACAGTATTCATTCATGATACAAAAGTGCATGAAAATTAGTGCTGTAAAGAGAATGACATAGGAACCATCCTACAGAGGAGCTAAATTGGGCATGTCATTTATTTCTGAAAGCTCCATACACAGTATATATCTAAGATTAACAGTTTTTTATTTTGTTTTTACCTGACAATATTTAATCTAAATCTTAAAATTTATATTTTCGCACTACAAGAAAGAATACGATTAAGAACATTTTGAAAACACAATATGATTCTATAAGAAGATATACAATTACAGATATGTATCTGCCCAGTTCTTTTACTAAGCAAACAAGAAAGTATTACAACTTTTGAATTATCTACAAAAAACAAGTCGGTAAAAACACACACACACACACACTTACACATCACATTATTATCTTAAGTGTGAGGTAGCCCCTTACAAAATCAACACACCATAGAAATAGTGTCTTATCTGGGATAAGAATTCTGAAAGCTTTCACAAAAAAATATGTTAAAAGGCTTGCTGGGCATCAACATCTATTCAGAATACCAAAACTAAATTGTGAAAGGCTATCGATATAATGCCATTTATATATTTTGGAAAAAAAAAATTATTACTATTTTGGTTTGCAAGGCAAGCAGGGATGTTTTCTCTATCAGATAAACCAAAGTGGTTAGAGAATCTAAGATCAATCCTAACAAGATTTCCTCCAGGTAAGGACTAAGATTAGAAGAGAGGGGTCCAAATTTCTACATAGTAAGTGGACTATTTATATTACACTGTGAAAGGTACTGAGAGAACAGTAACAGAAAGTAAGCAGCATATACAAAATACACCTTGGCAGTATCAACATTGGAAAACTTATTCCAATGCTGATTGAGAGATTTCTGTCAGATAAAGTATTGCATCCAGAAAAACTGGGAATATATCTGTCACCATTAATCTTTCTTTTTGGGTTTCTTGGGGTTGCGTGAACGTGATTTAGCCTTGCACAGCGGGCAAATAGGAGCATTGCGGTGAATCTGTTGGTGACAGCTAAGGCAGGACTTCATGGGGGGTGGTTGTTGCCTGGGTTGAAATGCAAATAAAAATAATGATGTGCATCTAAACCATAAATCACAGCAATATTCAATATATCCAGAATTTATTTTATTATTTTATATATTTATGGGCAACATGTGGCATAAATATTATGCAGAGAATTCATAGTGTGGAAATTAGGAGGTGCAGAGTTACTAAAAGTATTATTAAGAGAATGAAGAGGGGCTGTTGAGGTGGTTCGGTCACTTAGAGAGGCTGGAGCAAAATAGGATGACTTGGAGGGTGTTTAAATCTGTAGTGGAGGGGAGGGGGAAAGGGGCCATCCTAGGAAAGAATGGAGGGAGTGGGTAAAAGGTTTTATATGTAAGGGGCTTGGACATACAGCAAGCATGTGTGAGTCGTGTTAGATAGGAGTGGAAACGAATGGTTTCTGGGACTTGATGAGCTGTTGGAGTGTGAGCAGGGTAAGGTTAGCTCAACTTGAGCCCAGGAGGTGGGAAGTACAATGCCTGCACTTTAAAGGAGGGGTTTGGGATATTTGTTATTTGGAGTGACATTCTGAACTGTCATATCTGCATGCCTCTGCAAAAACAGTGATTATGTGTGAATGATGGTTTAAGTGTTTCTTTCTTTTTGTGGGTCACCCTGCCTCGGTGGGTCACCCTGCCTCGGTGGGTCACCCTGCCTCGGTGGGTCACCCTGCCTCGGTGGGTCACCCTGCCTCGGTGGGTCACCCTGCCTCGGTGGGTCACCCTGCCTCGGTGGGTCACTCTGCCTCGGTGGGAGATGGCCGACGTATTGAAACAAAATATATATAATGGACAAAGACTGAACTTATTTTTTGTTTACCTGAAAGCTGGAGTGGGTGGCCCTGGAGGAGGAGGTAGAGGTCGTTGATCTGCTTTATGAGGAGTTGCTCGAAGAGGTGCAGGCAAGGGAGCGGATGGGGACAGGAAGGAAGGTGGGGCACTCATGGCACCAAGTGAAGATAAACTCAAACTCCCACCACGAAGATCATCATGATCCATGTTCCACTCTACCCCTGCTTTCTCAAAGAAACTGAAAAAAACACACACACACACACACAAAATTATTTTCAAGAATTTAAGAAATAAGGAATCAAGTTATTTTCAAAAATTAAAACCCATAAAACCTGTGCTCCTTAATACACAAGCTCTTATTTTTATCATAATTGCTATTGCACAAAAAATTTATTCCTTTACATAAAACTCACGGTCAGAGTCTATTACACATGCACCACTACTAAACATATCTAACACTCTCATTTTCTTCAAGTCACAGATTCAAGCTAACTTTTCTTAACACCTACAGCATCATTAGTATTTATCTTAGGTGCCGTGGTTAATATCCACAGACCAGACAATGAGGCATAAGCCACTTCCAGAATGTAATGAGGTGGTGTAAGCTGTCAGTGGAAGGAAGCCATGTACTGGGGTGTGTAGTAGCCCAATTTTTTATAATGAAAACTGTATTATATTTTAATAATTGACAAAGTACAGTAAATGCATAACACAGTACGAAGAGTGCTCATAAAAAAGCTAGTTTTTGATTATGTAAAATTACATTTTCAATCACTGCATTGGCTTTCCCACCTCCTGTGAAGAATGTTTCTTCAAGTCCCATTCTGTGAGATTATCCATGATTTATACAAGAATTTTAGTCTGAGTGGTTTTAGCAGTGTGTACATGACTCTTGCTTACATGGATAGCCAGAATGGAGTAAGGTTCCAGTACTCTGCTGTCCCAGAAAACCTGCTCATAAATAATTCACTTTTGCTGCAGATTGTTATTCATGATTTTTATGAGCTCAGGCAGAGCTGTGAAAACAGGACTCTCAAAACAGGAAGAGTGCAGCAATATATTATATCAAACAAATTATTCAATTCCTTCCTTAAACTTCTTGTTTCAATTTTTTTCCCTTCTTCATACTCCCATGTATTGTACGACAAATGAAAGCCTTTCTTTCAGACATAGCTGTTGTATTTGTAATCTTACATAGTATTATCTTTGCCTTTACTTCCTATACCCATGTTTGCAAAAATAATTATCAGTGAACTTAAATTTCACCATATTATTTTGTAGTGCTACTTAACCCTTTCACTGTCGGTGAAATATAGGTATGGCTTACAAGCCAGTGTCGTGACATATTAATAAGCCAAAAATTCTAGTGGCTTCAAATCTAGCAGGAGAAAGCTGGTAGACCTATATGTGAGAGAATGGGTCTGCATGATCAGTGTGTGCAGTATAAAAAAAAATCCTGCAGCACACAGTGCATAATGAGAAAAAAAAAACTCTGTGTTTTTGGTTTAAAATGCCGACTATAAGGTGTATTTTCGTATGGTATTTATGGTTATATTTTCGTTTTCTTCATCTCATTTGATATAATGGAAGATATATTACAGAAAAAGATGATTCTGATTGCTTTCACCCAGAGAATTACCTTGAAATTGAGCTCAAAGTAGCGGAAATGTTAGATTTTTGCCGATGTTCAATTGAAGAGTAAACAAATAACGTCACTGTCCAATATGTGTCCAACTGGCCAGTCTAATACACAGTCACAAATGGGTTGACATTATTTATACAATTATTACAATAATGCAGTAGTCTGCATAACAGTAAATCTTCTATTTTTTGTGTGAATAAAAATTCAAAATGGAAAGCAAGAGTAATATAAGAGGGGCCTGGAGATGTGACTAATGAACAGAGAAAATGTTATTTTAGTGCCTGGAATGTCTGCATTGTTTATTCTGGACCCTATTTTGATATTGGCATCTTTTGAAATTTGTGTGAAACTGGCCAAATTGTCAACTGACAACTTTATTGGGTAGTTAAAATCAGAAAATGGGTGGTTTCCTGTACTCAATTAATAGAAATGGAGTTCTAGTGAAATAGCTATGAGTTTGGTCGACTGGAACAATGGAATTGGCTGATAATAAGGCTCAAAGAGGGCAATTTCGCCGATACACATTTATCGCCAAGACAGCTAACTTTGTGAAAGCGCAATTCTGTAAGTTTTCCATCAAATTTCGTACTTTTAGTGTCATTACCATCAGGAAAAGATTCTCTATCATTTCATGAGAAAAAAAAATTTTTTTTTTTTTTAAATTCTTCGGCACTGAGAGGAAGTTTGTGAGCAGGGGTTTTGACAGTGAAAAGATTAATTAACTAGTACTGTACAACTCCCCTGTTAGAACTAGACAATCATATTTTAATTTTTTTTTAATTTTACAGTTTAGTACAGCATAGTGCAGTATAATGCATAATAAATTATGTTTTGCCTGAAATGTTTTGCATCCTATGGGGCTTCATACTGTATGTTGTGAACAGTAATTCTGAAATAAAGATTTTGTTTTGTTTGTAATTCACACTTACTCTGGCGGCACAGGGTCATCCTCAGCTGCTAGATTTGGTAAACTGAAGTCGTGTCCCAGCTGTTGTGAGGCTAAACGGCTGGCCTCCTGTTTGAGGGGATGGTACTCGTCATAGAGTCGCCTTGCATGCTCTAGACTTTTATTGCGCAGGTCTTCTGCTGATTTTATAATGCTTTCCATCTGTGGAGAGATTTTTGCATATTTTAATACAGTATCTATAATTTTTGTAGGTAGTAGGTTGGAAGACAGCAACCGCCCAGGGAGGTACTACCGTCCTGCCAAGTGAGTGTAAAACGGAAGCTTGTAATTGTTTTACACGATGGTAGGATTGCTGGTGTCTTTTTTTTTTTTTTGTCTCATACACATGCAAGATTTCAGGTACGTCTTGCTACTTCTACTTAAACTTAGGTCATACTACACATACATGTACAAGCATATATATACACACCTCTCTGGGTTTTCTTCTATTTTCTTTCTAGTTCTTGTTCTTGTTTATTTCCTCTTACCTCCATGGGAAAGTGGAACAGAATTCTTCCTCCGTAAGCCATGTGTGTTGTAAGAGGCTACTAAAATGCCAGGAGCAAGGGGCTAGTAACCCCTTCTCCTGTATATATTACTAAATTTAAAAGGAGAAACTTTCACTTTTCCTTTTGGGCCACCCTGCCTCAGTGGGATATGGCCGGTGTGTTGAAAGAAAGAAAGATCTATAATTTTCTCATTACTGTACTTTAAATACGAACTGCTACAGAACAACATTAAGAACACTGCTACTGAAGTAGTTCACATTTCCAGTGAGATTTTGAAGAACTATGGTAATTTTTTTAAATCATGAGTGTTTTAAATTTGGCATGCATAATTGATAATTTTGAAGAATAAATTTATTGGTTATTGATGCACATTTTAAAATGCATTGTGATGGTCTTTAAAATAGTGTACTCATTGTATGGGTGAATTTGATCATAACATCAGTCTTGAATATGAACTAAATAAAGCTTAGTGTAAATTACTGATAGGCAATTCAAGTAACATTTTTATTTCCAGGGTTTCCCACCAGGGGTCACCCTGGTTTGGTGAGAAACGGCCCATGTGTTACAAAAAAAATGTTTCAGGGTGAAAGAAATCTCGCGAGATGACGTTGAGTGTGGAGACAATAAATGTATCACTATAAAACCTGAGACAAAATCTTTACTCTTCCACAAACATGTTATAATATCAGATTATACAATAAACAGTATACCGTATAGTAGACATGGCCAAGTTATGGCGCACAAGCCATGACTTATACTGTATTCTACATATTAATATATTACATTCATGGGGGAAGCCCTAAACCCATTGGATTCATGGGGAATGAGAGGCAATCAGGTTTGATCAAAGGAAAGTGAGGTCAGATCAAGAGCTCCTCACTTGCATCAAGGAACCACCCTTGAGGGGAATATTATGCATAGTAACTAATACAGTTAAACATTTTAATTATACAAAAGCAATGGCTAAAGCAATGACTGAGAGTCTTCCTGGTTAACTACTAACATAAAGGAACATAATCAAGTAAATATAGTCATGCAGTATATTTATGGAAAGCTCTAAACCTATAAGGTTTACACCGCAGAGTTGAAAGAGGTGGTAGAGGAAAAAGGTGGAGGCAAAAAAGCATGTCAGCAGAAAGTGGAGGGGCTGAAAGTAGATGTAACAAACCAGAATCAGATTTAAGATATCATAGAGAGAGAGAGAGCATCTGCCTTAAAAGATGAAACTGAATGGAAGTGAAGTATTCCAGCAGTGTTGTGGTCTTTCTATTTGTTTACATCATAAAGCACTACAGATGTACTGGTAAACAAATTGATTAATTACAGCACTGCATTACTTGCTACGTTTGGCTACAAATACGCAATTACTTGCATATAATGTTAAGAAGCATTTCATGGTGAGATACGTTAGACCTGCTCAATAATGTTTGCACCATACAGTCGACCCGCTTAATAATGCTTGTGAAACAATTTTGAATAATCGCTGAAAAACAAACTCCAACTTGCCATATTTAACAACTACGTACTTTGGTGCTCAAATAACCAACTCATTCCATGGGGTTACCATTAACAGGGTGCAAATGTACATGCCACTAATTCCAGTGAACATCTCACTATGAATACTATCATAGTATACATCAGTATATTTTATCCCCAAATAATTGGAGATATAAAATACCAGGAAAAATTAATAATAATAAATGTGGTTGTCATGTGTGTCATAAGAGGCAACTAAAATGCCAGTAGCAAGAGGCTAGTAACCCCATCTCCTGTATACATTACTAAATTTAAAAAGAGAAACATCTGGTTTTCTTTTTAGGTCACCCTACCTTGGTGGAGTACGGCTGGTTTGTTGAAAAAAAAAAATATGGCTGTAGTGGATAGCACTGTAAATGTGTGGGTGCACTGAAGATGGTTGTGGTGGTGGTGTGGGATAGCACTGTAAATGTGTAAGTGCACTGAAGATGGTTGTGGTGGTGGTGTGGGATAGCACTGTAAATGTGTGGGTGCACTGAAGATGGTTGTGGTGGTGGTGTGGGATAGCACTGTAAATGTGTGGGTGCACTGAAGATGGTTGTGGTGGTGGTGTGGGATAGCACTGTAAATGTGTGGGTGCACTGAAGATGGTTGTGGTGGTGGTGTGGGATAGCACTGTAAATGTGTAAGTGCACTGAAGATGGCTGTGGTGGTGGTGTGCACCTGACCTACACCATCCCTCACCTTGACTAAACCAACTGAATGATCCTAACAAATAGAATCTAAACAGAACACTAACCTAACCTATGTTAGGTAAATTGTCTTATTTGTCTTTTATTTACAAAAAACACTAGACTCTTAAACTGTGTGACTGAAATAAATATTTTTAGGTTTCATATTTATTCTAGGGTCAACATAAGTGACTGAAGCATTTTTAAACACTAGTATCTATCTTCCTTCTACCAACCTCAGAATTATAACAAATATGAGATACTACAGTATACCATATCTTCAGTAGCAGATATTACTCCACAATGTGTCACAACTATAACTATTTGGAACACATGAAGAATATGCTCCTCAAGAAAGAGTCAAATTTTGTAATGCAGGTTTTTTAAGTCAATTTTTATATTTAGCCCCAATACTAACAATATACACAATATAACAAATGCAATTTGGACAGAGAACTGAAATGTGTATTAAGAGTATTTTGTTATTGCCTCTAATTTTTGCTTGTCTCATGTTCTCATTGCCAGCTGCTACTACATATATAATAAATGATATCTACAACTCTATACTAGAAGAAATTACTGGCAGTGGTTCACTTCTCTGTTTGGATCTGCATTCAGTGGGAGAGGAGGAGGAAATGAGAGAAGAACTGGGAGAGTATGAGAGAAAGTACGAGAGGTAAGGAGAAAGGAGAAGCCAATCTCTCACGACTATACTGCATAGTTATAAATTTCATCCCCCCTCCCCCCCCAAAAAATATGAGCTATTATTGTCCCAGTTTTCAGTTCAGGCTAAAAGGCGATTGTCCATAGAAAAACGCAATTCGCTTAATATATTTTCCACTTAACGAAATCTCAGTCTGGTTCCTACCTAAGTTGTCAAGAGAGGGTTGACTGTATGTGGTACTTTACCATTTTAATATTCATGCTAATGAATGTTTGAATCAGAGACTAACTGCATTGATGTCAGCATGAATTTGCCGCAGTTCTTCCACATGGGCCATCTTCTCTTGCAGCAGCAGCTCCATCTCGGCCCTGTACTCAGCAAGGCTGGCTTCCTCTGCCTGCACCACTTCCACTTCTTGAGCTAATCTGCCTCGCAGCCTCTCCACTGCTACAACTTTAGCCCTGAAGAAAAAACATACTCAACTATTTTATTATTATAGAGTAAGTTTTACTAGGGGTGTGCCCGTGTCAGTATCAGTGGGTATTGGCTAATTTTGATGGTATCAGTACTGGCCTAAAATTGGGTATTGGTAGGCAATGGCCAATTCTGATGGTGTCGTCGGGGTTCATTGGAGATTAGATGGTTGTAGTTAAACACACTGGTTGGATGGTAACACTATACAGTGGACCCCCGCATAACGATTACCTCCGAATGTGACCAATTATGTAAGTGTATTTATGTAAGTGCGTTTGTACGTGTATGTTTGGGGGTCTGAAATGGACTAAACTACTTCACAATATTTCTTATGGGAACAAATTCGGTCAGTACTGGCACCTGAACATACTTCTGGAGTGAAAAAATATCGTTAACCGGGGGTCCACTGTACATTGCAGAGTATAAAGGGGTAGCGGGAGAGAGAGCCCAGCCTTGCCTGTGTCTTCTATGGGCCTATGTGACCAACTGAGAAAGATCCCAGGAGGGAAGCGCTCACCCAGCCTCACATGATGTCACACAAACTAGTCACTGGGCCTAGCAAGGGGTCGTGTATGTAAAACATGTGGATGATACTATGATACACAGATGACATAACATATACGGGATCAGCAACTATGCTGACAATGGCACAGTATCAGCGTTGGTACCAGTATCAGTGGGTATTGGTTAATTTTAATCTGAACTCTATCAGTATCAGCCTAAAATTGGGTATCAGTATTGGAAAAATAAGAAAAAAAAAATTATTGTTCCACCCCAACTTTTTTACTTACAGTAATATGTAGCAGTAAACTTAAGTGGGCCATTCAGCACAAGAACTGAGGTAAACTCAATTATCTGCCTGCCAATGGCGAGACAGATATCGTATTTTTTGTCATATAAGGTGCACGAGCATTACGAGCATAAAAGCTTTATTATTATAATGAACTGCATGTCTTTTTATAAAACACCAAGTAACTCAAAGCCTACTCTTGACCCTGACCTTGAGCATAAAAGATGCAAGCTGATTTTCTAAGACTTTCTTGGGGTGGAAAAATGCACCTTATATGCTGGAAAATACGCTATGCTATTTAACCGTGTTCAAGGACCTTCGTAACAAAAACTATACTGTGGATATGCACCTTATGAATACACATTTTTCAAAGCAATTAATATCTTTATTTCTACAAGTATATGCACAAGGTATACAGGCCTATCTGACATCAATTACATATTACTACAGTATATAGAAAGCCACTTGTTATGCAGAGCATTCCAGGCAAATTAAGTCAGTTTTGTCCCAGGATGCGACCCACACAAGTCTACTAACATCCAAGTATACTCATTTTACTAATAGGGAACATAGACAACCAGTGTAAAGAAACATGCTCAATGTTTCAACTCTCACTTGGAATAGAACCCGGACCCTCGCCATGTGAAGTGAAAGCTTTAGCCACCAGGCCACGGGGCACCGTAATTCAACAGTACAGATACAATAGTCATAGCGTACATGATGTGCACATTTCTTTAAAGGATGTTGGGCAAAGAATTTTTGCAGGAATTTTGAGCATAGTTTTGGGAAAAGGGCAAAAGTTTGGTTAGAAGAGGGGAGCAAAGATCTGATGTGAAGAAAGGGGAAAAAGTTTGGTGGGAAAGGGGGATAAATGGGTGAGTGATATTTTGATAGCTGGGATAATTGGGAGGGTGATATTTTGATAGCTGGGTGGGTGATATTTTGATGGGTATGGGGGGGTTAACTGGATGGGGATAATTTGGTGGGTGATATTTTAATAGCTGGGGGATAATTGGGTGAGAAGATGGGGGCAAGAATGGTTGGTTGGGGAAGGGGGAATTGATAAGGAAGTTGGGAGATTGTTGGAAATAGAGGGGAGGAGGATGTTTTGTGAGGAAGAAAGAAAATGTTAGGTGGGGGAGGGAGAAGAATACTTGGTAGGGAAAGAAGAATGTTTGTTGGGGGAGGGGGAGGAGGAGGAGGAGAAGGGTTGGTTGGGGAGGGGGAGGAGGTTTGGAGGAGGGGGAGGAGAAGGTTTGGTTGGGGAGGGGGAGAAGGTTCGGTGGGGGAAGGGAAAGAGAATGTTAGGTGGGGAGGCGAAAGAGAATGTTTGGTGGGGGAGGGGAGGAGAAAGTTTGGTGGGGGAGGGGGAGGAGAATGTTTGGTGAGGGGAGAGAATGCTTGGCAGGGAAGGGAGAGGAGTATGTTTGACAGGGGAGGGGAAGGAGAATGTTTGGTGGGGGGAGAAGGTTAAGTGTTTATTGTTGAGAGGGGAAGAGTACAAACACATACCATTAGGCCACCTTCATAGAAGATATTTCAACCCTGAGACCTTGATCACTTTAATTACATGAGGAATATGAGCAAAGAAAAAAAAAACAGGCTATGTACAAAAGCAGGAGAAAGTGTACTAGTGTGGGTCATGGTGCATGAAACTGGAAGTGGGGAAGAGTTGATCTTATCACTCCAAAACGTTGACAGCTATAACATTTCCACAAATTTTGGCATGTGCATTCTTAGAAACATGCTTTCCGGGAGGGAGGGTGGGGGCGGTACAGTCACAGGATGTACCGCTCTCCGCTTTCTGTGTCTTAGCGATTAACATACTACCATACTCTTTCCTGTTTATGTATGTATGGACATGTATGGTATGTATGTATGAATTAAGGTATGCATTTATGTATGTTAGTTAACATTTTGTCAATTAGACACTGGTATACACAAATGACTATGCAGTACATACATACGTACAGTCACAAGCAATATGGTTTTCAGGCAGAATGATTAAAACCCAACAAATAACTGGGTCCTGATGAACTGTTCTCTAGGGTTAAAGAGGAATGTAAGGAGGAACTTAGCAAATCATGAGCTAGTTTTTTCAACAGGGTCCTAAGAAGCAAGATCACCACCCATCTAGAAACCCATCAGTTACACAACCCAGGGCAACATGGGTTTAGAACAGGTCGCTCCTGTCTGTCTCAACTATTGGATCACTACGACAAGGTCCTAAATGCACTAGAAGACAAAAAGAATGCAGATGTAATATATACAGACTTTGCAAAAGCCTTCGACAAGTGTGACCATGGCGTAATAGCGCACAAAATGCGTGCTAAAGGAATAACAGGAAAAGTCGGTCGATGGATCTATAATTTCCTCACTAACAGAACACAGAGAGTAGTCGTCAACAGAGTAAAGTCGAGGCAGCCACGGTGAAAAGCTCTGTTCCACAAGGCACAGTACTCGCTCCCATCTTGTTCCTCATCCTCATATCCGACATAGACAAGGATGTCAGCCACAGCACCGTGTCTTCCTTTGCAGATGACACCCGAATCTGCATGACAGTGTCTTCCATTGCAGACACTGCAAGGCTCCAGGCGGACATCAACCAAATCTTTCAGTGGGCTGCAGAAAACAATATGAAGTTCAATGATGAGAAATTTCAATTACTCAGATATGGTAAACACGAGGAAATTAAATCTTCATCAGAGTACAAAACAAATTCTGGCCACAAAATAGAGCGAAACACCAACGTCAAAGACCTGGGAGTGATCATGTTGGAGGATCTCACCTTCAAGGACCATAACATTGTATCAATCGCATCTGCTAGAAAAATGACAGGATGGATAATGAGAATCTTCAAAACTAGGGAGGCCAAGCCCATGATGACACTCTTCAGGTCACTTGTTCTATCTAGGCTGGAATATTGCTGCACACTAACAGCACCTTAAGGCAGGTGAAATTGCTGACCTAGAAAATGTACAGAGAACCTTCATGGCGCGCATAACGGAGATAAAACACCTCAATTACTGGGAGTGCTTGAGGTTCCTAAACCTGTATTCCCTGGAACTTAGGCGGGAGAGATACATGATTATATACACCTGGAAAATCCTAGAGGGACTAGTACCGAACTTGCACAAGAAAATCACTCATTACGAAAGCAAAAGACTTGGCAGACGATGCAACATCCCCCCAATGAAAAGCAGGGGTGTCACTAGCACGTTAAGAGACCATACAATAAGTGTCAGGGGGCTGAGACTGTTCAACTGCCTCCCAGCATACATAAGGGGGATTACCAACAGACCCCTGGCAGTCTTCAAGCTGGCACTGGACAAGCACCTAAAGTCGGTTCCTGACCAGCCGGGCTGTGGCTCGTACGTTGGTTTGCGTGCAGCCAGCAGCAACAGCCTGGTTGATCAGGCTCTGATCCACCAGGAGGCCTGGTCACAGACCGGGCCGCGGGGGCGTTGACCCCCGGAACTCTCTCCAGGTAAACTCCAGGTAAACAGATCACTAAAAAATGGGAGAGACAGGAAGGCCCCACTTTACAGCCCTTTGCCATACAGTGTTTCACTAATGCAGTGGTTTTCAATTATACCCATTCTTCATATATTCAGATTTCCTACAATATATTCACTATAAGCTAAGTATGAAAATATTTTAACGTAAGTAATGTGTGTACTGTATATGCATATTTTAGTTTGAAAAGTTCATCTCCTGCAAATGTAATAAATTCACTGTACTCCAGTTATCAAGTATTGTATATATCTGTGTAATCTATACAAGAAAAAACTGTTTATACTTGCTCTATAGTGATTATTATTTTATTATATTTAGGGGAAGTGCTAAACTTGCAGGGGTCATCCAGCACCTGGGGAAGGATAGCAAACAGGTTTCATTCAAGGAAGTAGAGGATAATTTCAATTCCTTGAATCAAAAGCCCCTCACCAGTGTCAAGGAAACCTCTCTTGAGGAGACTACAGTGGACAAGGAAAGAGAAGAAAATAAATTTAAAAACGTTATGGCATCTATAAATATTGAGGAAATTAAGGTTTACTTGTATGTACAGCATATATGTATTTGAGTATACATATGTACAATGGGCATGTTTCCTTTACATCTGCTGCCCCTGTTCACCTAGTAGTAAGTAGGTACCTGGGTGTTAGCTGACTGGTATGGGTTGCATCCTGGGGGTGAGGATTAAAGAACTTTAGTGTAAAGAAGGTAGACAGTCTGATAACTGAGGCTTTATTGGGTTAACCTGGGTTACTAATCCTCCAGGTTAATAATACCAACAAAATCTTCACTTGGGTAATGGGAGGTAATCTGGTTTGATCTGAGGAAGGGAAGGTTAACATCAATTCCTTGGATTAAGTGCCGAGAAACATATTATATTCATAGGGTGTTAAACCCAAAGGGGTCTTACAGAGCCTGGAGGAATGAGGAGCAATCAGGTTTAAGAAAGGGGTGCACAGGTCGAATTCCTTGGATCAAGAGCCCCTCACTGGCATCAAGGAACCTTGAGGGCTAAGTTACGAATAAATCAAAAAGTAATCTAAATGCACAAAAGAGGAGCTCTCATTGGGCTTGTATAAGTGTCAGGGGCCCAAGACTGTTCAACTGCTGTCTTCAAGACGGCACCGGATAGGCACCTAAAGTTAGTACCTGACCAGCCAAGCTGTGGTTCATACATTGGTTTATGTGCAGCCACCAGTAACAGCATAGTTGATCAGGCCCTGATCCACCACGAGGCCTGGTCTCATACCGAGCCACAGGGGTGTTAACCCCCAAAACCCTCTCCAGGTATTTCTTTACCTCCAAAAATTCTGGATGTATCCCAGGGAGAGAAGACTAACCCCAACTCCTCGGAACAAGAGCCCTCTACCAAGAAACACCCTCCTTGAATGGCAAAAGTGCTTGAAAAAAAAAAATATTAATTTAAGATCAAAACTGAAAATTATCCACATACAGTGGCCCGTGGCCTGGTAGGTAATGCTCTCGCTTCACAGTGTCAGTGGTTCGATCCCTGGAAAGGGTGGAAACACTGGATGTTTCCTTACACCTGTTGTCCCTTCACCTATCAAGTAGGTACCTGGATGTTAGTCGACTAGTGTGGGTCGCAACCTGGGGGACATGATTTAAGGACCCACAATGACACACTGACATTCTTGGGTTATCCTGGGTGGCTAGCCCTCCAGGGTTAAAAATCGAACAAAATCCTTCTCCCTTCCACGAGACACAAGAGCTGTCACCCCAGCGGTGTTTCTTTACTTCCACCAAGATCTATTATTTCAACTATGTTCATTTACATAATGGGCACATACTTAATCCTAATTACATTACCTAATGTCCTTAAGAGCCTCTAATTTCATATAAACTGCCCGGTCTCTCTCGTCAGCCATCCCTCCAGACATGTTTGGTAAACAACTCCACCAGTCAACTGAGCAACTCAGAATATATATATATATATATATATATATATATATATATATATATATATATATATATATATATATATATATATAATATATATATATATATATATATATATATATATATATATATATATATTTATATAAATATATATATATAAATATATATATATATTTATAAATAATATGGTTAAAAGTGATATACATATATAATATATATATATATATATATATATATATATATATATATATATATATATATATATATATATATATATATATATTATATATATATATATATTATATATAATTAATATATATATATATATATATATATTAATTTATAAAATATTATTTATTATTATATAATAATATAAATATATTCATATAATAATATGGTTTAAAGTGAATATATATATATATTATATATTATTTATATTATATATAATATATATATATATATATATAATATATATATAATTTTTTATATATATATATATCATATATCTTACTTATATATTAATTTATATATATATAAATCAAGATTAATCAATAACCTTGTGGCATAATTTGTAAATTATTTAATAATATACTTATTAAACAGATTCTGTTTGATGTTAGAAAAATATTCAAGATTGTATTTATTTCAATTTAAAAAAGGGAAGATGTAATATATAATATATAAAAATGCATTTTTTAAGTTCAGTTCTGGTCTAGTTTATTCATATTTTATCCTTGCAGTAATTTAATGTAGATTAGTCTATTCACATGCATTACAAAATATACAATAATGAGAAAGTCCACAGGATGTATAGGATATATTAAGAAATATTAAACAAATTTTAAGAAAATCTAACCTGAGGAAACCCAACTTAATATGACAATGTATCTACCACATCTGCTCAGATAATGATAGGATGGATAACGAGAACCTTCAAAACAATATCTATCAAGCCATGATGATTCTCTTCAAATCACTTGTTCTCTCTAGGCTTAAATATTGCTGTACACTAACAACCCTTTTCAGTAAGTTTATTCAGGTATACACCAGTTACATAGATTATCATACATAGCAGCATATGTGTAGAGAACCTAGAATAACCCCAAAAAAGTCAGACAAATTGACTTATTTCCACTGGGGTCCTTCAGGGCATGCAAAATTGTAGACCTGGAGAATGTAAAGAGAACTTTTTCATAGCGATCAAGCACAAACACCTAAATTAAAGTGAACGGTCAAAGTCCCTTGATTTGTACTCCCTGAAATGCAGGCGAGAAAGATGCATGATAACATACACTTGGAAAATCCAAGGAAGCCTAGTCCCAACTCTGCACACGAAAATTACTCCCCAAGAAAGCAAGAGACTGGGCAAGAGATGGAACATCCCCCCGATGTTAAGAGATAACACAATAAGAGTCCGGGGCCCAAGACTGTTCAACTGCCTCCCAGCATATCCATGGTGAGGCCTAAAACTCAGAGGCCAGTGCGTTAACCACTTGACCTGTTGCTCTAAAAAGGTATACCTGCAGAGTCTTCCAGGGGTCAATGCCCCATGGCCTGGTCCATGACCAGGACTCGTGGTGGATCAGAGCCTGATCAACCAGGCTGTTGCTGCTGGCCACAGATAATTCAGCATATGAACCACAGCCTGGCTGGTCAGGTACTGATTTTAGGTGCCTGTCCAGAGCCTCCTTCACAACAACCAGAGGTTTATAATAATAATAATAATAATAATAATAATAATAATAATAATAATAATAATAATAATAATATATAATAATAATAATAATAATAATAACAATAATAATAGCAATTATTATTATTTTCTACAAGTACATAACACAACTTTGACTTTGACTCTGGTTCATTTTGTCCCCCAGGATGCGATCACACTGGTCGACTAACACCCAGGTACCTACTTACTGCTAGGTTAACAGGGAGAGCAGGTGTCTTAAGGAAACACTCTCCCAATGTTTCCACCCGTACCGTGAATCGAACCACAAACTGCAATACGTAACTGAGTGCACTACCAACCGAGATACGGGATACCTGTTGGTAATCACCCTTATGTATTGGGACGCAGTTGAACAGTTTTGGACCCCTGACACTTATTGTGTTACTCCTTAATGGATATTTCTATACACCATAGGGAGGTTAGCATAGGCCACTACTGTGACCACACATGCATGTTTCTTTTTATTTTACAGATGAATCCCACACTAGCATGGCTGTGTCGAACTCTAGTTTAGATCCCCTCAAAGCCGCCATCATGGTCACAGTGGTGACCCATATTAACCTCCCTTTTTTTTGTGACCAGCTGGTCAAGTGATTAACGCATTGGCCCGTGAGTTTTAGGACTCACTTATCATGGGTTCAATCCCTACCCGTTCCGTCTTCTTTTGTCTGATGCTTCTTTGTGGGGTTTAGCGCTTAGTTAAAGATTAAAAATTTAAAGATTTATTCATTTATTTGCAATGTTTACTGTTTGTGATTACAATTTTGATTCGGTAAGTACAAAGATTAAATTATTATTATATATGGTTTTTCTTTTTAATAGAGGTAGCTAATTATTTACAGTAATTAAAATTTATAGTTGTGATATAGTATATAAAAAGTTACAGTATTACAATTTTGCGCAATTTACAATAATGAAATTTAAACCATTTTAAGTTGGAATTGATGATTAAATAGTTGGGAAATCATAAATTATTTACTTTTTTCTGAGTAACTGGTAGGTGTAAAGTACAGTGTTTATCTGATTAATTTTGGGTGATGAGGTGGTTTCTAAGTAGGCCTTAAATTGATTTGCAGGCAGCAGGGGCCTTTTAGTGTGCTCTGGCAATGAATTCCAGATCTTTTGGCCTTTTATGTGCATAGCATTTTTGCCTAGTGAGAGATGGACACGAGGGATATCAAAGAGTGATTTATGCTTTGTGTTGTGCTTGTGTGTTCTGTTGTAGTTATCAAGGAGGAGTTTGAGAGGAGGGTTAACATTGGAGAATAATGTTCTGTGTATGTAGTAGGCACAATAATAAGTGTGGATGTTTTGCAAGTTAAGGCTCTTAAAAAGAGGCGGACTGTGCTGTCTATTGCAGGAACTGGTAATCAATGGCACAACAACTTTTTGTTGGGTTATTAAAGGTTTAAGGTGATTTGCTTTGGTTGAGCCTCATGCACAAATACCATAGGTGAGGAAAGGGTAGATGAGAGAGTGGTAAAGAACAAGAACTGCTGTTTGGGGTACATAGTATCGTATCTTTGAAAGGATTTCTGCTGTTTTGGAGACTTTCTTGGATATTTGCTGTATGTGGGTCTGGAATTTGACTTTGCATTCAAGGTGGAGACCAAGAAATTTGCCCTCTGCGTGTCTTGAAATGCGTGAACCATTTATCGATATGTTAAGCTGAACATTTGAAGCTCTGTTTCCAAACAGCATGAAGCAGGTTTTGTCTATATTGAGAGTAAGTTTGTTGGTAGTCATCTAAGTAGGTGTTTTTAGCAATTCGTCGTTAACAGTGTCTGTTAGTATAGTTGGGTTTGAGTGAGAGAAGACATAAGTAGTGTCATCTGCAAATAAAACGGGTTTAAGGAGTTTAGATGCGTTTGGAAGGTCATTGATGTAAATGAGAAAGAGAAGTGAACCAAGGACACTACCCGGTGGGACTCCAACATGAACATGTTGTGTAGTGGAGCTTACGCAATTTGTGCGTACGTACTGGCTTATTTTGCTAAGATTTTAAGTAATCGAGTGAGTGTCTTCTGACCCCATAATGTTCAAGTTTTAGGTGCAATAGGTCATGGTCAACTGTATCGAAAGCTTTTCGTAGATCTATGAAAAGTCCCAGGGGAATTTCATTTTTTCGAGTGCCATATATAGAAGTTCATACATATGTGTAATTGCATCATTAGTATTTTTTGTCGGCCTAAATCCAAAATGACAAGGGTTAAGTATGCAGAAGTAGACTTATATGTGAATTAATTTGTCGAAGATTTTAGATAGTAGGGGCAAGTTTGATATAGGCCTATAGTTATGTGGAAAATTACATTTATCTGTATGTATCATTATGTACATAACAATAAATGAACATAGATAATTATTATTTATCAGTTAGACAAGTAGGAATTTGGGACACCTAGGTCGCAAAAATGTCCCCCTTCGATACCTACAACTGTCATATCCACAAGTTGCTCTGGACCTATTAATTAAATGAAATATACATACACCAGGAATACTGGTAAATATATAAATTTGTGGACTGTATATTAAAAATAATAAATGGTTATATATATACACAATTACAAAACAGAAGGAAAATATGTCTTAATATCACTCACCAATTTGACTGGAGATTAATGTGTATCACACTCAGAAAACCTCACTCTAACTAAATCTATGAAAATAATGCTGGCCAGAATTACACACAAATCTAGAGAGCTTATCTGAGGTTCCTGGAGCTGTCTTGTCCAGTCGTCTGATATCTCAAGTTATGCAGGAATGCACATCCACCAATTTCGCCTCCTATTTGAGAGGTGTCAACACAATTTAACCTCTAGAGCACGAAAAATTCTTCCCATTACACCAACGTTTGTACAAAATTCAAAAACCAAGATGGCGAGTCTCCTGCCCAGACGCAGGCTTTCCGTTTTCTATGACAAATATTAAATACAGTATAGGCCATCTATTTACCTATAAATTACCGTATTTCCGGAAAATATATACAGTATTTTCCACAAGTTATTCAGTTGGATCACCTCCTTTGAGGATCGGAGTGACCTTTGCTGTCTTGATATATAATTATATATTTTAACAAAGAGCTAGGCTAATACACCGCTGCTTTGCTGTCTTGAGTATGGATGGGAAGGTAGAAGATCCAATAGCCTTGTTGAAAAGAGTTGCAATAATTGGTGACAACACATGAGAAGCTTTTTTGTACATGAGTGGTGGTAAGTTATTCAAGTCTCCTGTATTGTTCTTTAGTGTTTTGAAGAGCGAGAATTCAGTAGTG